GCACAGATGAATTCCATAATAAATACATGAGAAATAATCGTTGCCACAAGCACAAAGTCATAAAATTTACAGTTTATTGTGAAAAGTCACAAAATTTACAAGTTACTGCCCGGAGATGCAGCTGGGAAGAATTACCCTATGTACACCTTGTGGTACCCAGAATTTTGTCACGTAGTTTACTTGCTACCGGGATTTTCATTACATAAACCATATATATGTAATATAATCAGGTAATTCCCGTAAGGTAGTCCAAATTGGCACCACGCATTAGGACCATATCTTTGATATAATACATATACTACACGATATTAAGTCGGATTCCGCTGCATGTTTCACGTGGTATAGAGTTGGATTCCCCTGCGTGAATCACGTCATTTTAATGTGTATTTGGTATTTTAGTTAGATTTCATCACTTAGATTGCGTACTGCTTGGGTTTTTATTACGTAGAGTAAATATGGCAGTAAGATGGACTTCATTCTGTGTGAATTATGATGCTGTTTTAAAAACAGCGTCTCCAGATCCTGAAGATACGGAAGGGTGCTTTTTATACCCAGGTAGTCACAGATCACAAAGACTGCATGACTCTAAAATGGGCAGGGTGTCCAAAGATTGAACAGGAGACCAAGGGTGTTGCATCATAATGATGCAATGGCATTTTGCCAAATCTTAACAAAAGGTAATAAATCATTACATCACAGCATTTTTTGAGCAAAGGCGTTTCTGATGCCTAATTTTCACCACCGAAACGAATGAACGAATCGTAGAGGGACTGGTTGCTCCACGGGTGGAACCTGAGCTCTCGAGTCCGTGTACAAGCGCAGCGACACTTCTAGCCACGCCCATTTACCCGGCTTGGCTCTAGTGCCGGGTATCTTTGCCCGAATATCCGGGGACGGGTCGCTGTTTATTTTTCGTTATTATGACGTGTTGTTGTTAAGAAAACGATGATGCTATTGGTGTTATAGGATCTCTGTTCGGGGTGCTTGTCCACTTTTTCTTCCTGTTGGTCAAGTTTTGCTCATTTCTGGCATATCACTTGGTTGATGGTCATTTGCCGATGATCCGCCCATTGGTCATTTTTTTTCCAGTAACTTGCCCGCAGGTCATTTTTTGGGGTTTTGCTGCGAATAACGGCATGGCTGGTGCCCCCCTTTATCTCATTCGCTGTAATGCTACTTTGCTGGTAAAGCGGCGTTTTTCCATTTGTTAATACCAGATTTTTTAATAATCGCAGCATGGAATATTTCCTCAGTCCCCTTCCCCCATCTTACTTCGCTTTTTCTTCGTTTTCTTCCCTTCTTCATATTTTCTCTTCAACCTTTAATAACAGTAATGCTGAGCAACAGGAATCACTACGTGTATTCGAGTCCAGGACAGACTCCTATAGAAAACGGGGGAGGGAGTGATGACGGGGTATGGGGCCCCTGGATGGGGAAGAGGGCTTTTACCGTGGAACTGTGCAAAAACTAGGAATAGAGTTGTAACACACTGCTACTTAGAGTTGCTTTAGTTTTATTTATGAACAGACTCGGGCTTTTACAGCAATGGTGCCTTTGCCGCTAAAAGAGGAGGGGGAGGGAGGGCGGGGGAGGGAGGAATGGGAGAGATCGTCTGCCTATGATTCTAGCCGAGGGCTTCAGGCCTGTAATTTTCTGCGCTTCATGAAAATATGGAATCTTCCGTGCTTCTTCCAGATTGCTGGAATGCCGTCGGATAATGATAACCACCAGCCGAAATATACAATCTTATTGCCAACATATAACGAAAGAGAGAATTTACCGATATGCGTTTGGCTGATCGTAAAATATATGAAAGAAGCGAATTTTTCCTATGAGGTAAATGATGAGGCTTTTTGGGA